GGCCCCTGGTCACAGCACCTCACTGCACACAGCCCACGGCCCAGGGAGGGTTGAGGCTCACATTCTTTTTTTCCTCTTTCATGACAGCGTAAGCACAAAGGCTTATCAGGAGACCTATTGAACAGCTTTAAGACTAGAAGTACACCAAGAAGGCAAATACTAGAAATGGGCACAATCTGGAATTACAATGTGTCTAGGAAGCTCTGGAGATGTGATTAGGAATATCTGAGGCTTGTAGCTTCTGGAGTCCATCACGACAGCTGTGACCTCACAGCGGCAAACGCCAGCTGCTTGATCTCGGTTGGTCAAATGTTCCTAGCATCTGCAGATTTACCTCCTAAAGTTTTAAAAAAATCATTAAAGATGAATATATTTTCAAAGTTTGGCTTTACATATAGACAATTACACTTACACAGTCCTCCGTTTACTGCCCAGGTTATTTTCATCATTCTGAGCACTACATCAAGAGTCTATCAGGCCGTTGTATCCATGTTTTTGGCTCAGGATGATGGACTGTTTTGTTCGACTGACACTATTCATTATTTTAATTTTATATTTAGGTAACAGGCTCTTTCCCGGGCTCTCAGACTACACTGTGATCAAAGCCCTGACTGCCAAGCAGCAGAACTGAGTTTCACCTCCTTTGTCTCTCATCAGGCACATGCCCAGTAGCCATCCAGGCTACAGCTGAGCAAGGAGGCACGGGAGGAGGGACAATGTCTGCCTCTGTTACCTTTGGTCATCTGTTGTATTCTGACTGTTGTTCAGGACAATTCTCCACAGATCGGAGGACACCAGTTTCTTCTGGTCGCTCACAAGACTGATGTCCGGCAACTGCAGCTCACAGACTTTGCTTTCAGACAGGCTGAATTCTTGGAATGAAACAAAAACCTTCTGGAGTTCATCCCAATATTCCAAACTACAAGGGACCTACAGGAAAACAGACAAAAAAAAAAAAAAAAACCGAGAAGTTATAAATTAGAAACTATGTGCTTAGAGATGGCTCAGCGTTCCTTCAGGGGACACAGGTTCAATCTCTAGCACCAACATGGTGGCTCACAAACTGTAACTCCAAACCCAGGGGATCTGACACCCTCTTCTGACCTTTGAGGGCACACATGTGTACATGATGCATATACACATACATAGGCAAAACAACCATACACATAAAATACATAAATAAAGTTTTAAAAATATAAAATTAAAATCATGCTCTGTACATGCTCCAAAATGCAAATTAAGCTTCCAAAGAAGCTATCACCTTATGGTGTGGTAGGAAGATAAAGTATAAGAGAACGTTGTAGGATATTCTTCTTAGTCACGTTACCCCTGTTTACTCTAGAAGACTCATATAAAAGAAAGACTCACTTAATAACAGAAAAACATCCACAGTTTTCTATACAAAAGAAAACTAATGGAGAACAAACTCAATACTTCTAAGCCTCCAGTATTTTAAAGCTAAGGCTGGATTTAAGATACAAATAGATTAAGCGACGACAAGAGCAAAGCAGCGAGCGGCAAGTACTGGTGAAGCTACTGATGAAGAAGGAGCACATTTCCAGACAGGCAGCTGGAGACGGAAGCGTAAGGACAAAAACAAAGCGAGACCTCACATCACTGTTCACACAAAGGTAAACACAGGATCAAGTCTGTAAAGACCACAGAGTGAAAGCTGAGAGAAAAGAAAGCTGCTACATTTTGATTTTTAAACAGCAAAGTATTGCTATGTATGCAACAAAATTCAGCAATCAGGAAAAAAAGTCATTGGTAAAAATCAAAAATAAAAAAGCAGACAAGGCAAGCCAGGCAAGACTCAATGAGTGATCAGACACAAGTTGTTCAGACAGGAGACAGCTCATAGAAACCAACTGGGAAGCATATGGAAGAAAACATATGAGCCTTAAAGAGACACCACCAGCTCCACATACCTCAGCTGTGCCCAGTGTCCACGGCAGCACAGCACTCCCCCAGGGCCTCTCTGCATAGCACTGTTAGAAAGCAAGGGGAACCCACAAAATGTGATGCTCACATTGCTTGCTTGGCTGTCCACCAGTGCAGACTCTGACTCTGACTGAGGAGCCCACGCTTTCCATAGCACCGTGAGACACCAGCCTGCACAGCCAGAGCACAGACCTTAAAGCAACTACTTCACAGAACAAATAAAACTGACCTGCAGACATGAAAATCTACCAAACTTTAATGATACTCAAGAAATTCTAATTTAAGCAAATATGTAACAATAGAATAATATATTTATTAATCTGGCAGCTGAAGAAGGTTGACAGCTCCGGTTTTTGCACAGGTATGTGGAAGAGACAGTCCTAGGTACTGTGGATTAAGGGCTTGTGTCTCTTCATTTATTCCTAAGGTTTTGTTTTACTGTTACTCTGATGTGAGAGAGCATGATGTACATGTGTGTCATGCACACACACACACACACACACACACACACACACACACACACGAAGGACGGAGAGCAGCATCAAGTGTCTTCCTTCATCACACTTCACATTATTGAATCTGAAGCTCACTGGCTGGTCAGCAAGGATCCTCAGGGATCCTTCCACTTCTGCCTTCCAGTGTAGGGATTATAGGTGAAGGCTGCTACACTGGCTTTTCACTGAACTCAGGGTCTTAGGCTTAGACAGTATCTTAGGGTTACTATTGCTGTGACGAGACACTGTGATCAAAAGAGGGTTTGGGAGGAGAGGGGTTATTTGGTTTACATTTCCACAGTGTAGTTCATCACTGAAGGGAGTCAGGACAACAGCTCACAGAGGGCTTGAACCTGGAGGCAGAATCTGATGCAGGGGAGTACTGCTTACTGGCTTGCTCCCCATGGCTTGCTCAGCCTGTTTTCTTATAGAATTCAGGACCACCAGCCCAGGAATAGCACCACCACAATGGGCTGGTCCCTCCCCCATCAATCACTAATTAAGCAAATGCCTTACAGACAGATCTTATGAGGAGCATTTTCTCAATCATGTTCTATTCTTTCAGATAACTCTAGCTTGTTATCTGACTCAAGTTGACATAAAACTGTCCAGCACAGGCAGCAAGGACTTTATCCACAGAGTCACCTCCTAAGCCCCACAGTGATGTGTTTTGAGCATGCATGTGTGAGGAGGGAGACATTCGATGAAGAAGAAAGACATCAAAGTGCTTGAGTACACAGAAAGAGATGCATATGTTTGGGGATAGTCACAGAATCCAGTGCAGACTACTGCTTCTTGAAACTGTGTCAGGCATGGTGGTGTGCATGTGCACTCCCAGCACTGG